GGGGGGGGGGCGGGCAGGTGGGAGAGTGGGGTTGTATAAAGTGGAGAAGGGGGGTTAGGGAGGGGGGGGGGGGGGGGGGGGTGGGGTGTGGGTTTTGGGGGGGGGGGGGGGGGGGGGGGGGGGGGGGCAGGCAGTTGGCAGGTGGTAGCCCTGTAGCCCTTCTCCATTATTCGTTGTTGGCCAAAAAGCGCACAAGAGTTGCCAAACAAATTCTTTTGTTATTTAATTGTAACCAAATTATTTCCACACGCTCTTTCTTTCTTTCCTCGCACTTTATTTTTACCACCATTGTTCCACCATGTCCACGACTGTCTCTCTGTGCGCTCATTGGTGGCGGACGCCATTCCTCCTCCCCGTCCCCATCCCCATCCTTCTCCTCCTCCTCCTTCTCCGCCTGATCTTTATCGCCTTAAGTTTACAAATTTTAGTTCCTAATGAGCGATTTTAGGCATTGTAATTCATGATGGAGTGGTGCCAGGTCGGGTTGCCGCTTTTTATGTGGTTTTTTCGTTGGAATTTATTTGCTTCTGTTGCTGTTGCTGTTGCTGTTGCAGTTTTTTTGTTGTTTCTTTCAGTCATGCCGCCCCATAAGTCCAGCACGTTGACGTGCTTTTGGTGGGTGTGGTTCCTGTTGAGGGCGTGACTTGATGGCTTAAGTCGTGTTTGGGTGCTAAATATGGAAATTCATTATCGGGGGACACGATGCAGTTGCAGGTTTACGCCTGGGCAGACATCAATTACAATTTGCCTCGAGGTCTTGAAGTGTAAATAAAGTATTAAGCGGAAATTACTGCAGTGACTATTTAAGTGTAATTTATGAGTATTTTTAATGTTTGAAAGTCATATCTAGATTCTTTCCAGAATCTATATTTGATGGAAGTTTTGGTACTCTCTATTCTTAGCCGGCTTCCCAGTTAGTAAGCAAAATACTTATATTTATTACAATGACTTCACCCTTATCGCTGCCACATTAACCACAAAAATCTTACAGATCTACTTACTGCAATTTTCCCTCCAAAATCTCATTTTGCTACATTTTTGTAATGTTCTTTTCTTCATCTTCAATGTGCTGAGCACTGCACCCTTTTGTTAGGGCCTGAACACAATACTTTATATGATGATCTGATGATCTACTTTTCCATTGAAGATCTGGCATATTAGACAACAATGTTTTGCAGCATAATCTACTTTCTGCTCAGCTATCGCTTACTCTCAGAGGGCACTCAATGAGAGGATAACTCACTCCTACGCTGCTGCACAGTTTCTGCACTGTCTAAGGATTATGCCAAAAATGGCAACTAGCTCTATCCCTTTGGGCACAATGTTGCCCAATGTTTTACAACAATTTATCTAGGACATCTGTGTGGCAAGAGAAAAGGTCAAGGGATCAGTGGTAAGAGTACACCGCAAAGAGATTCTCATTACATGGCGCATTGTTTTTTTGGGCAGCTGTCTGGGCTGTGCTGTGGAACTGGACTTTGCCAAAACCATAAAAAGTCCAAGGTAATCCGAAGCGCAAACATTTTGTTAGGCAAAACAATCGACTCGCTGGACGAGATTGCATTATTGCGGTTAGTTGTCAGGGGTTTGGGGTTTTCAGGAAGATGACTTTCATTGTTGGTTGCTGGTTGGTGTTCACTTGCAGCTGCATAAGTACATCCCATGAGCATATCCTGTACGTAATTTCCTGGGAAAGCTTTCAGCCATACAGCAACCATTTTCGGGGCAGCCAAAACACTTGAGCACTTAAAAAGGCGCATGAACTCGATCCTGGTTTACTCCTCCTCCTCCTCCTCCCGTGCTCCTCCTCCTGTACTCTTCATATATCTCCCTCTGCCATTGTGTTGTGTGTGTGAAACAAAACCGTTTGTTTCAATACGTTTCCTTGCATTTTAGGTTGTTGGGAAACAGACGAAATGGACTCATTGATTCCAATTGACTGATTTCAATTGAAGTTAAGTGTCTGCCACTGCCACTGCCACAGACGCCGTCACAGCCGCACTCCTCCCAGTCCCAGTCCCAGTCCCAGTCCCAGCAGAGCCGCTCCTTTGCAGCCAAATGCCCGCGTTCGTCCGCAGCCAGGTCGAACGCC